GCTCTTCCCAGCCCCTCTGCCCCCAGCTTGGAGTTGCTGTGACTCAGAGTCACAGGAGGAAGACCAAACAGTGAGATCTTTCTCCATAGTCTGTGGAACCTCGCTCTAAGATACTTTCAGGGTCATCCAAAGCCAACATCCTCCACAGCAAAGGCCACCTCTGAGCTGCTGCCCACCCCAGCACATACTGAGTGGTAGTGCAGGAAGTGAGAGGCTTGGCCCTGCCAGGAGCACTCCCAGCGCTGCAGCCTCCCCACCACAAACCCCCTCCAGATGTGGCCACCTAACAGCCCCTTCTGCCTTTCCCCAGCATGCAGAAAGAAGAGATGGAGTTCCAGCCCCTGGAGCAAATTAAGGAGAACGAGGAGGCCAACCACTCCACACCACTCCTGGGACACCTCGGCCGCCTCCTCGGCGTCCAGTCGCCGAGTTTCTCCAGGTCCTCCTCCCGGATGAACCTCCTGAGGAGGCGAGGAGACGCCACCTCCCCCTTCTCCCACTACACTTACCAAGACGTGGGCAAGCCCGGGAGCCCCGGGGGCCTCAACCCTCCGAGGGGAGACTGCAGCTCCCAGGACCAGTGGGACAGCGAGGACAGGAAGCTGCGGGACCTGGACGCCTTCATGTCCACCCCGTTTTACGAGAGGCCCGGTTTCTACAGCGCGCCCCAGACGCCCATCAGCTCCATCCCCATGATCTTCCCCTCCAGGCGCCAAGGCCGTAAGAAGCCCCCCGCCCTCTCCAGCATCATGGCCTGCTCCTCCTCCCTCAGGGATGTCATCGCCAACCCCTCGCCCTCCCGGGCCAGCGACACCTACAAGAGCCAGAGCTCCCTGGGCTCGGGGGCCAGGGAAACCTTCGTCTGGCCCACGGAGCGCTGCAAAGGGCCCGAGGCGCTGGTTGGAGCTGTGGAAGAAAAGAGCGGCTCTAACGGGAAGAGCAGAGAGGTTGCCACCACGGGGAGCCCAGGGGCTCAGTCCACCACGTCAGACAGCCCCAAATTCCCCTTCCTGGCCGAGTCCCCGGATCATGAGAAGCAGGGGAGCTTCAAGAGCCTGAAGAGCTTGAAAGCTGCCCACCCCCCCCGGCTAAGCCTGGAGAACTCGGCCTCAGGGCCCCCCAGCTCGGAGCATTCCAGCACCTTCCACACCCCCAGCACCAAAACCCCCGCCGGCAGCACCTCCCTCTGCTTCTCCTTCACCCCCGTCACCTCCCCAGCCCTGGAGAGGTCCCACATGGCAAACGTGGGCCCCGACCCCCTCAGCTTAGAGGACGGGGCCAGTGCTCCAGCCCAGCACCCAGCAGAGGGCTCCAGGAGCACGAGAGAGGCTGGAAACGGGAGCAGCAACACTGCCCCCACCAAGGAGCCCCGGAGAGCAGAGAGTCCCTCCCCCAACGACTCGGGCATCTCCCTGGCTGAGGGGGACTACGTGGGGCTCATGGAGGTGATCATGGAGACCGGCGAGAGCACGTGTGAAGAGCAGCTGGACCCGTACAGCTAGAGGAGCCCCAGGGGCACCCCCAGCTCCGTGGAGGTGCCTGCCCTGCTGGTGGCACCACGGGATCTCCACACCTGGCCACCCCAGCACCCAACCCAACGGGGCAGTGCAGCCAAAGCACCCGCTGCTGGGACGTGGAGCTGGAGCCAGCACCCACACCACGCTGCTGCTGGCCTTGGGGGCAGTAGCAGGCACCTCTTCAGTGTTGCAACACCCAAACCAAACCAAAAACCCCTCTGGTTGTAGGAGAAGAGCAAGACTTGGAGCACCAAGTGTTGCAGACACCCAACAGCAGAGCACTAGCTCAGCAGGGACCAGCCTGAAGCTGGAGTGCAGGTGCAGCCCCAGACAGAAGAGGACTATCTACTAATTACAGAGCTTGCCCCTCCCTCACCACAGCAAGGACTGGAACCTGAGCTTGATGTCAAACCCAGGCCCACCACAAACTCTCAGGCAGGACTTTCCCTGGGGTGACACATCACAGCACTCCCTGAGGTCCTGCCTGGCTGGTGCTTCCCAGCATTGGGCAAGGAACAGGGTAAGACAGGGCAAGTGGCCACTAGGACAGCTAGCCAGTCACTCTCAGCCCTGCACACAGCTTCCCTTTGAAGCTCCACATCCCCTCTGACTGCTCAGAGCAGAGGTCATCAGGGTGGTGGGGCAGGCTCCACACAGCTGAGGTTTCACCCTAAGGCAATAAAAGCAAGGCTGAAGTCCAGGACCACCCATTTTGGTTCCTCATTTCAGTTTCCAAGCAACAGGAGTTTAGGGAAACCACAAGTTTTCCTGCTTCTGTCTTCAGACACAGCTGCAGATGTCCCATGACACAGGAGATACCAGTTTACCACCCACACTCCCCCCCAACACCCTCAGCACAGCCCCTAGCCCTGGGCAGATGTCACCACCTCTCACTGCAACCCCCGAGGCTGCTCCTGCAGCACTGTCACTGTCCAGCCTGGTGCCACCCCACAGCTCTGGAGCCTCCACTCCCTGCAGGAGTTCTCCCTACACAAGCACAGCACCGTGTGTTAGGCATGGAATGGTTTGGGTAGGACAAGAGGCAACAGCCTCAAGTCACCCCAGGGGAGGTTTCAGTTGTCCCTGAGGAACAATTTCTTGCCCTGGAGGGTTGCCCAGGGCTGTGCCAGGCTGCCCAGGGCAGTGGTGGAGTCCCCACCCCTGGAGGGGTTTCCAAGCCGTGGAGATGTGGGGTGAGGGACACGGGGCAGTGGGCACCTGGCAGGGCTGGGGGATGGTTGATCTGATCTCACAGGTCTCCCCCAGCCAAAATGATTCTGCTTGTGACCCTTAAAGGTCTTGATACCTAGTGAGGCACCAACCTCCCTCCCTTCAGTTGCCTCACCCAAACTCCCATAGACCTATCCAGGCAGGCCAGATACTCCAACCTTCAACTGGCACAGTCATAACAGCTTCAGTGGTAGAGGCATTTAACCACAACTTCAATCCCTGCACCACATAAGGGGTAAAAGAAAGGTCATTTACAGAAGCACTCAGCAAGCAGAACCTGATCTGAACCTTTAGCATGGTCCTTTAGGGCAGGTCCTCCACCCCCAGAGCACAACCCTGCCAGTGCCAGGCCTTTGGCTCCTGAGAGAAAAGGGCAGAAGCCACCTTGAACCAAGTCACTTTATTGGATGGAGGGCAGTACACAAACCATGGGAGAAGAGGGGTGAGATTTGGTACAGAACTGTTGATCTAGACAGCTGGAGATGCATGCACAGCTGGACAGCAAAGGAGGAGTCCCACTGCAACCCAGCAAGCCCTCAGCTCTGGCTGCTGTCCCCGAGGGTGTGCTTGTCAAAGAGGTACTCTGCCATGCCATATTTGGGGGCTCCCATCTTCCTCAGGTTGGTGACGTGGTCACCCAGCTCTTTGATGGCCTTGACCTGCTCATCCAGGTAGTGAGTCTCGATGAAGTCGCACAACTGGGAGGGAGACAAAAAGGGGTTAAAGTTTCAGCCTGGATGGGGTTTATCCTGCTGGAGCAGGACCTGGAACCCTCCCAGTCCTCTCTGGGGAAAGGTAAAGATGGAGAGTGGCAGATTTAAAGCTGCAGGAGGTACCCCAGAGGAAGAGGCCTCTAGTTTTGCCTCAAAGCCAGGCCAAGACCCAAGTGACCCAGGGTTATCTAGGCACACGTGCTCCACAAGTGCCTCAGCAGCTCCAAATCCCCTCTCCTCCCCACTACATGAAGTTTCTGAACAGATTTAGAGGCCTCCACAGCCCCCGAGTTCATGACCCAGGAAGGTTGTAGATGCCCCAACACAAAGTCCTCAAGATCAGGTTGGATGGGGCCTTGCACAACCTGAGCTAGTGGGAGGTGTCCCTGCCCATGGCAGGGGGGTTGGACTGAGATGCTCTTTAAGGTCCCTCCCAACCCAACCCAGTCCAGGATTTACACCTCTAGAGTAGTCCAGTGGTTTCTTTTCAAGTCCTGCTTTATGCAGGACACTCCCAAGAGTACAATTCAGACAGTCTAATCTCTTCCTGATACCAAGAAGCCTCAAAACTTGCCAACAACTTCCAACTGTGAAGAAACTCATGTTTTCAGATGCTGTCCTGAAGCACCAGGGCTTTTAAACACACGTGACCCCCAAATTGTATGCTAGAGCCCCCCCCAGAGCCCCCTCCCCACCCAGGCAGGCTCTCAGCTCTGGCCCCAGCTTACGTGGGGGTCGTTCTTCTCAGTGGCCAGCTTGTGCAGCTCCAGCAGGGACTGGTTGACGTTCTTCTCCAGGTGCAGGGCACACTCCATGGCAGTCAGCCCGTTCTCCCAGTCATCACGGTCGGGCTTCTGGAAGGGAAAAGGGACATTTTCTGTCAGCAACACCCCAGGCTTCACGTCCACACCACTTTTGGTTTGCTCTTTTCACCCTGAAATCTGGCCTCACACTGACTTTCTGCTGTTTCAAATAATCAAAGGAACTCCAACCCCCCCCTCCCCAGGGCTCAGCATCCTCTTTTACACAGGAAATACTTTTATCTTAAATCAATCAGCATAAATTATCTGGATTTGGGGCCCAGTGCCATGAACAGGCTGCAGCAATGCACACAGAGAGGACCCACAGGGGGGAATTTATCCCCTTCCAGTCTGGGGACAGATCACAAGGTTGGTTTTGCATCTCAGACAACCCCACAGCCTCACTCCTCACCTTGATGTCCTGCAAGAAGATGCGTCCACCCCTCTGGTTCTGTAGTTTCATCAGCTTCTGGGCATGCTCACGTTCCTCGTGGGACTGATGCAGGAAGTACTTGGCAAAGTTTTTCAGAGCCACATCATCCCGGTCAAAGTAGTAGGACTGAAAGAGATGAATTCATCTATTCAAGACCCCAAGCCTTGCTCCAGCAGCCACCCAGAGCCAAGAACTGGGACTTCAGATGTGTCATCCTACCAGCCCTGCCTCAGGATGGCAGGAGGCCAAGCCAGGGCCAGGCAGTGGGGCAAAAAGTCTCCCCTCTGCTGCAACTTCGATTTTCCTGACTTGGGTTAAACTTTAACCTCTGTCCCTATCATGAAAACAAATAAACAACATTCACAGGGAAGTTCTGAAGAGAGGAAAAAAACCCCACCCCTCGAAGGTCCCTGTCTGAGCACTCTCAAAAGCCTCAAAAAGCTTTTTTCCAAGAAGGAGAAATCTTCCCTGCACCCTTTGTTCACCCGAGTTTGTTTACAGCCCTCACAGCTCGTTTAGCAACACCAGTTAAGGGTGGCTGAGAGCTTTAAGGTGCTACTTCTACAACCAAGCTCCCGTGCTTCACTAAGCTCATCAAGGATTAGACTGAGAAAGACACCAGTGGGTGGAGGAAAATGATCACCACATTTAAAAGACAAAAGCTTAACCGAACCAAAATACATATTCAACAGCAAATATGAGCTCATCTGTTTGGAAAGCCAAGAAAAAGCCTGGAAGAGCAGTTTGAAGGCATCACAGTTATTTGTTTTGTGGTCAGAGCCATTAGGCAGGATTCAATGGGAAGCTTTGTATCAACCGCCAGTTATTTACCACACGAACTACTACAACGTCCTCTGCTCTTAAACCAGCAGCTCCAGAGGCTCGAGGTGAGACACTGCTGCTTGTGTGCCACCACCAACACTCTACTGAGCTGGCAGCTCAGAAGCAAGCTGTGAAGTTTCACGGCCGAGCGTTGCAATGTGTTACAGCCTCCCCACAAAGTCTCGAGTTACCTGCACGCCTACAGCACCAGAACTGCCCCACCGAGGTCAGAGCTCCCCTTTGGGCCCAAGTTACTCAGCTAGGGCTAAAGCGGGAGCCTCACGGCCAATGAGACAGGCGAGAACAACGCCACGGAAACCGCAGGTTCCTACCAGCTCGCTTTCAAATCCACCGAGGAAAAACCTCGCCTGGGAGACAAGAGCTCCTGCAGGCAAGGTGCCAATCGCTTGTTAAGCAACCGCTGCTATCCTGCCCAGC